AAGCCTGTACTGCAGTATTTTCAAGCAAAAAGATATGGTGTCTAGGATTTGCTCTAAAACAATCCAGAAAGAAAGAGGAGAGAACATATGAAATAAAACCAGCGACATGTTAACAATTATTGAAGCTGGATGAGGACATGTGAGAAATCATCACACTATTTGCACTTTTTTTTTTTTTTTACTATTTGTACTTTTATATATGTTTGAAATTTCCCATGATAACTTTTTTTTTTTGTAGAGACAGTGTCTTACTCTATAGCCCTCAGTAGAGTGCCGTGGCATCACACAGCTTACAGCAACCTCCAGTTCCTGGGCTTAGGTGATTCTCTTGCCTCAACCTCCTGAGTAGCTGGGACCACAGGTGCCCTCCACAACACCCAGCTACTTTTTGTTGTAGTTTGGCCAGGGCCAGGTCTGAACCCACAACCCTTGATATATGGGGCCAGTGCCCTACTCACCAAGCCACAGGCGCCACCCCAACACATGACAATTTTTTTTTTAGAGACAGTCTCACTTTATCACCCTCCGTAGAGTGCCGTGGCAGTGTCACACAGCTTACAGCAATCTCCAACTCCTGGGCTTAGGCGATTGTCTTGCCTCAGCCTCCGGAGTAGCTGGGACTACAGGCGCCCGCCACAACGCCTGGCTATTTTTTTGCTGCAGTTTGGCTGGGGCCAGGTTTGAACCCACCACCCTCGGTATATAGGCCTGTGGCCTACCCACCGAGCCACAGGTGCAAACCCAACCCATGATAATTTTTTTAAATATGAGAATAAAAGGGGGAGGATGGCTGGGCACCCATAGCTCAATTAGAGCATCAGCCCCATGCACTGGGGGTGGCAGGTTCCAACCCAGCCAGGCCCTGCTAAACAACAATAACAACAACAACAACAACAACAACAACAACAACAAAACCGGGGGCAGCGCCTGTGACTCAAGGAGTGGGGTGCCACCCCCATATACAAGAGGGGGAGGGTTCAGACCCAGTCTCTGCCAAAAACTGCAAAAAAAAAAAACAAAAAACCCACAAGTGATAAGTAAAACATGTACAGTAGCCAGGCATGGTGGCTCATGCCTGTAATCCTAGCACTCTGGGAAGCTGAGGTAGGTGGATTGCTTGAGCTCTGGAGTTCGAGACCAGCCTGAGCAAAAGCCAGACCCTGTCTCTACTAAAAATAGAAAAACTGAGGCAAGAGGATTGCTTGAGCCCAAGAGTTGGAGGTTGCTGTGAGCTATGATGCCACAGCACTCTACCCAGGGCAACAGCTGGAGACTCTGTCTCAAAAAAAAAAAAGTACAATAAAATGCTGATAATAGCTGAATCTGGGTATTGGATACATGAAGATTCCCATAGAAAAACTGAGAAATCTCTTTATGATTCAAACTTTGCATGACAGAAAAAAAATTTTTTTTCCAAGACAGAGCCACACGCCATCGCCCTGGGTAGAGTACCGCAGCATCACAGTTCACAGCAACCTCCAACCCCTGGGCTCAAGCAATTCTCCTGCCTCTGCCTCCCAGGTAGCTGGGACCACATGTGCCCACCACAATGTCCGCCTATTTTTTTTTTTTTTTATTGCAGCCATCATTGTTGTTTGGCGGGCCCAAGCTGGATTTGAACCCACCAGCTCAGGTGTATGTAGATGGCACCTTAGCTGCTTGAGCCACACACACCAGGCCTGCATGATAGAAATTTGAAAACAGGTTGGGCGTGGTGACTCATGCCTGTAATCCTAGCCCTCTGGGAGGCCAAGGTGGGTGGTTTGCTTGAGCTCACAAGTTCAAGACCAGCCTGAGCAAAAGTGAGACCCTATCTCTACTAAAAAGAAAAACTGAGGCAAGAGAATCATTTGAGCCCAAGCTGGATGTTGCTGTGACGTACGATGCTATGGCACTCTACTCAGGGCAACCGCTTGACTCTCTGTCTCAAAGGAAAAAAAAAGAAAAGAAAAGAAATTTGAAAACAGAACAAACTGTGGAGAGGTCCCATTATAATTTCTGAGGCAGGTATCCAGGCACCTTATGGAATGCTTGTGGGGCATTCCCTCACCAGCTTCTCTTGGGTCCATGTCACAGATCATCACCTCCTGATCACCCCTGCTCCATCACTCATATCAGCTCTTGTTACCTTCTAACCAAAGCACACCCATTAGGGACTGTCTGGGTGTCCAAGCCTCTCTCTGTGGCCCTAGAACTCATTTCTATGTCCCTTCTCAAAACTGAGACTGGATGCATATATTCAAGGCAACTCAAGTCCATGCTCCAGGGTTTCAGTCCTCAAACTTGGCTCAAATAAATGCTACTTATAAAAAAAAAAGTCAGACTTAAGAATGCTAGATAACCTATGAGTCTTTTCCCTTGACAGCCCCACCCTGACATTCACGCTAATGGTCCCATGGATTGGAAGGATCCTCAGAGAAGGGCTTACCAAGCTCTAAGCAGCCAAGGACCCCAAGGACAAGCCCCATTGTGTGGTACAGAGGAAGAACAGTGTAGACCACATCATCAGCCGTGGCCCCACACAAGGACAGCATCCCACTCATCCGCAGTATCTGCTCATGGGTGATGATGGCTGGTTTGGGAAGACCTGGGGGAATGAAGAATGGGAATGGTGGGATGGTGAAAGGACAACATGGGAGAAGTGCTAGCACAGAGGGGTAGGTCTCCAGAGTCAGGGCTGCACTGGAGGTTGAGGCCCTCAGAGGGTGGTAAAGTATGGACATTTGTGCTTAGAGTTTGAATTCAGAGTGGGAGTAATAGGTCAAGATCAAAGGTCAATAAAGGTTTCAGTAGCTGTTTACCAGAAGAGGCAGGATTCTGGCACTGACCACCGAAATCACATTGGTATCAGAGTTCTAGCCAATGTCAAGATCAGAGAACAGGGTGGTTTTAACAGTCAATATTGCGGCATAGGTCAAGTTTGGCATCAGATCAGAAAGTTGAGAGGCTGGGGATAGGACTACTGGTAACCCTCACCAGTGGTCCCAGAGGTGTAGATGAACAGGGCAGGGCTTCGCCGTGTGATCCCAGTACGCAGGTCAGCAGGCACTGGGTCAGGAGGGGCAGCATCCAGGGCTGCCCCCATTGCCCCCACACCCGGTGTAGGGGAGGTATGACTGAAGTAGAAGCAGCGGATGTTCTCAGCCTGCAGCTTTGGAAGGATCTCCTCTAGGCTCTCCCGGAGGTCTGCAGGGATGGGTCAGGGGAAAGACTGAGGCAAGGTTCACCTTGGAAATCTTGAGGGGAAAGCTAAGACCTGCAGATTGGCAGGGGGTGGGGTGGCAGAGAAGTAGCTAGCAGAGAAAAGCTTTTGCTTTCAACAAAGAATCCCATTGTTAGTATTTTTTGGTGAAAAGAATTGAAATACTGTGGAAAAAGTTAAATTCTGGTGCCCTCAGAATTACTTTCCAGTTATGGTTAAGTTTTGACTCTGCCTGTCCACAAGGGTAGGTGGGTGGAGAGCAAAGGCATCCTTGCCCAGCCCCTCCCAAGATCCCAGCCTCCAGCTGGTCCCTTGCCCTTACCCCTTTCCATTCTCCAGTGACTCCAGAGTCTCTCACCTGGGTCTACTACCAGCAACTGGGCCCCAGAGCTCAGCACTGAGTGTACCAGGGGCACTCCTCGGCCATGTGGGTTGATCCAGGCTGCTGGGCAGCCCAGCTTGGCCAACCCCAGCCACAAACTGAGAGCAGGAATGATCTGGGAGGCCACCAGGAGGGCAACAGGCTTGCCAAAATATAGGCCCATGGGGCCACCCAACTCAGCCTTCAGGACCCATGCTGCCCGGCAGGCCCAGGCATCCAGCTCCCCAAAAGTGACAGAGCGAGCCCCGGGCCCTGTCCACACCAAGAACACCCGGGCAGGCTGCACTTGCGCTTGTCGCTCAAAGGTGTCCACAAAGCTGTCAACCGGCTGTTGACTCAAGCGCACCCCGACGTTCCAGCCCAGGCGGAAGATCTTGGTCAGGAAGGCCACATCAGCAGGCAGCCAGCATAGCCCCAGAGGTGGCCATGTGCGAAGCAGAATCAGTGCCAGGGATGTAGCCACCAAGGTCAGCCAGTGAGGCACCCAGTGGCTGAGCCAGGGCTGCATCAGCACAGCCAGGCTTAGCAGCACACAGCATGCAGTGCCCCCCAGGAGCCAGTGCAGGGCTACCGCCATGGCTGCTAGCCATGCTGGCTGCCCCAGTCCCCAAAGCAATAGCAGCAGCAATAGCAGAAAGGCTAGCTGCTGAGGAACACCCATCACACCAATTGTCTCCTCAGAGAAGTAGCTGTGGAATACACAGGTTCTTCTCTGTTACCAGGTTCTCAAGTGCTAACCTCTGGCATCAGAGTAACCTGACTGCTCCTCCCCTTAACCTCCCCCACCAGGTGGTAGCCCAGGTACTGTCAACAGTGGCTGCTCCTGTTCCCAACACTGTCTTGCTCAATCATGCTAGTGTGCAACTCCAGCCCCTCTGCCTATGTGCCACCCACATAAGCTCCCTCCCATTTTTTCTTTTTCTTTCTTTCTTCTTCTTCTTTTTTTTTTTTTTTGAGACAGTCTCATTTCTCTGGCTAAATACCATGCGTCATAGCTCACAGCAACCTCAAACTCCTGGGTTCAGGCAATTTTCTGGCCTTGGCCTCCCAAGTAGCTGGGGTTACAGGTGCCTACCACTACGCCCAGCTAATTTTTCTATTTTTAGCAGAAACAGCAGTCTTGCTCTTGCTCAGGCCGGTCTCAAACTCCTGAGCTCAGGCAAGCCACCTGCCTTGACCTCCCAGAGTGCTGGGATTACAGCATGAGCCCCTGTGCCTGGCCATAAGCTCCCTCCACCAGGATCTGTCTCCCATCTGCTTTGCCACTAGCCTCTGGACCCACATCTCTGCCCCTCCATCATCATTGCCAGGCTCTTTCCTGCGGGATGCTTGACAAGTACCCCCTCCAGGACTGACATCTGCCTCCCTTCCTTTACTTTTGAAGCTTGTTGTTTACCGGGCACTCTTGGGAGACTGGCAGAAATCCCTGTTCTTGGGGAACATTCCAATCAGGCCAAAAATAAAAGCAACAAGATAACAAGGTGGTCCTGGCCCCAAGCATGTCTTGCCACACCTCACTATGTGGTCCTAAAGTGACCCAAGGGAACATAATCTCCTGCCAGGTACACAGCAAGTGCTCAGTAGTTAACATTTGCATTGTCTGAACTTAAACCCAGCTCTGTATCCCACCCAAGTGCCTGCTCTAACTCTCTGCCCTACCCTGGATCAATGAGGACAGAGAGCTCAGGTTCAGGAGACTGAACTCTGCATATGATGTACCTGGTTGGACCATGAAAACCTTAGCCTCTCACCTCTGGGAGGTAGTCACAAAGGGTCATCAGATGCCTGTAATCCCAGCACTTGGGAGGCCGAGGAGGGTGGATTGCCTGAGCTCACAGGTTCAAGACCACCTGAGCCAGGTAAGACCTCATCTCTAAAAATAGCCGGGCATTGTGGTGGATGCCTGTAGTCCCAGATTACTTGGGAGGCTAAGGCAAGAGGATCACTTAAACCCAAGAGTTTGAAGTTGCTGTGAGCTAAGATGCCATAGCACTCTACTGATAGTGACAAAGTGAGACTCTGCCTCAAAAAAAAAGTCATCACAGAGGAGCCACCACTGGCCTAGGAGTTTGGAAAATTGGGCTGGGGCATGGCCTTTCACAGGCTCCAAATCCTTAAGGCTGGCTGCCCTGGCCAGGAGCCACCAATATGCAGGAGGTGGGAGAAATAAAGGAGAGTGGCCAGCTCTCCACGCTGGATACTGGGTCCTGTGACACTGGCTCATATTGACTAGGGGAAACCGTCTCCATCTGCCCAGTGGTTAGCCCAAGGGTTTGAGCAGTGGCTGTCTCCTGCCCATTCTCAGCACTTGCTCTGCAACCTGGAATTTGGCCCTGGGCAGCCAAAGTAGTTATACCTGGCTCATCTACCTGCAGGGCAGCCTTGCCCAAGAGACCCCCCCTGGGTCCCCAGAAATAAGGTGCTCAACCATCATACCCATCAGAATGGGGAAGTGGAAACCTTTAAGTTTAAAAGGCCCTTAGAATTTGGCTGAAAGATCTGAGAGAGGGGCCTCGAAATCTATACTGTAGACAAAGGCAGACAGCCGAGTGACCATGCGACAGATTTCCACATGTGGCCTTCCTCTCTAAGACCCACCTCAGATGAGCCTATTACCTTCCCAACAGGATGGAGGGCTCCAAAAGAACCAAGTGTCAGTTATATATGCTGCCCACCCTAGCCCTCCAGAACAGAAGCCTGGGATGGCAAAGTGGGTCATGCTGTCTCTGCCCATGAGAACATGGGGACCAGCCAGGGTGCTGCCCAAGGACCAATACTCTGAGGGAGGACACCCATAGCCTGCCTATGAAAGAGAGGCATGCACTGGTACAGGAGCAGGCAGCTTCGTGGTTTAGGCCTTGCGGCCAACAGTACTTTATTACAGATCAGGAGTTGCAAGACCCAGCCTTATTCTATCACAAGTCCACCTGAGCCTCCTTAGGCGCCCCCCTGAAGGAGGACTAGCTCTGGGTAGGGAGACCTTGTCCAGCCTAACACTGGGAAAGGGGCACAGCCCCAGGACACCCCACTTTCCCCCCTCCCAGCCCCATCCCTCAGGAGGGGGCAGGTTACAAGCCGTGTGCAGAGGCAGGAATACAGGGCCTGGCTCCAAGTATCTAAGAGCCGGTTCAGGCTGGAAATGGCCCAGTTCTCGGAGGTGTTCGGGTCTCTGACCAGACCCAGCCCAACACCACCTAGAAGGTCCAAGTACGGGGTGGAAAGGAGTAAGGTGGACTGGGTCCCAGTATGGAGAAAGGGGTGAGGACAGAGGGAGGGCCTGAGCTCAAGAGTATGTGGTGGGGTTGCTCCCACAGTGGAAGAGGCTGGCCTGATCCAGGCCCCAATCAGGGTGCAGGGTGTGAGGACAGGTGGCGCTCCAGCAAACCACGGTGGGAGAAGACCTTGCCGCAGGCGGGACAGGGCGCGCGCTCAGGCCGGTGCGTGCGCATATGCACGTTGAGGGAGCTCTTCTGCGTGAAACGCTTGGCGCAGATGGCGCACTGGAAGGCGCGTACACCCGTGTGCGTAACCATATGCTTGAGCAAGTAGTCGCGTAGTGAGAAGGATCGCCAGCACACGGCGCACTGGTGTGGTTTCTCCCCTGCGGACAACAGGGTAGCCCGTGAACGTATGTCAGATCATCCAGCTCTCCACCCAGCTGGGGCTCCACCCCGCCCCCCCACCCCAGTCTCCTGAACCATCTCTCTGGGATCCCTTACCTATAAAAGATCCCTCCCCTCACTATGGGATTTCCCCTCCAGGACCACCCCTTTGCCTCCACTCACATGAGGGCTTTCCTGCCCCTTAGGGACCCTGGAACACGTGCCCAGGTATGTCTCCCCCCCTCTTGTACTTGGCAGGGTCCTCCTAAATCTATCAGATACCTTCCCAAAAGGGAACCCTGCTCATCTGGGACATCTGTTGCCCATCTAAACTGCCCACTCAGTCTCTCCCCACCTCTGGAGACCCTCTCCCTCAACCCTTACTGCACCTGGCAAAGGGAGACTCTCAAGCCTGGCCTCCTATGCCTGCCCCTATGCCCATAGAACTAACTCTCAGAACACTAGACACTATTTTGGGGACACTCTAACAAGGTCCAGTACCTTTTCTTTTCTTTTTGGAGCCACAGTCTCAAGCTGTCGACATGGGTAGAGTGCCATGGCATTACAACTCACAGCAACCTCACACTCTTGGGCTTAAGCGATTCTCTTGCCTCAGCCTCCCAAGTAGCTGCGACTACAGGCGCCTACAACGCCCAGCTATTTTTGTTGTTGTTGTAGTTCTCATTGTTGTTTTAGCAGGCCCAGGCTAGGTTAGAACCCGCCAGCCCCAGTGTATGTGACCGGCGCCCTACCCACTTGGGAGCTATGGGGACCACCCAAGGCACAGTACCCTTTTTTTTTTTTTTGCAGTTTTTGGCCAGAGCCAGGTTTGAACCCTCCACTTCCGGTATGTGGGGTGGGGGCTCTACTCCTTTGAGCCATGGGCACTTGCCCGGCCCAGTACCTTTTTACAAGGAGGAACTTGGGCACTCTGTGGAAGCCCCAGTTGCCCTGCACCCCCACCCACTGGGCCACTATAATGTTCCTGGTGTGACAGAGCCCAGCTGGCTGCCCTTCTCACCCTGGGTTGGAGGAGAAGAGGCAGGCTATGTCTGCCCCTAGGCCATCAGGGGTTGACAAAATACCTATCCCAGTGGCAGGAGTCAGACACTTCCTGCACAGCCAGCACTGCCTTAGAGCCTCTGGCAGCCTCTTATTGGCCCATTACCAACTCCCCTTACTCCCAGGTCCCTGGTTTCTGTCCATCCTTCCCAAGGCAGCTAGAAGGACATTTTATTTTATTTTATTCTTTTTTAGAGAAAAAAATACCACCCCGGGTAGAGTGCTGTGGCGTCGCAGCTCATAGCAGCCTCCAGCTCTTGGGCTTAGGTGATTCTCTTCTCTTGCCTTGGCCTTGCCACAATGCCCAGCTATTTTATTTTATATATATATAGATAGATAGATAGATACATATATATAGATATAGATATATATTTTTTTTTTGTAGAGCCAGAGTTTCACTTTATGGCCCTCGGTAGAGTGCCATGGCATCACACAGCTCACAGCAACCTCCAACTCCCAGGCTTAGGCGATTCTCCTGCCTCAGCCTCCCGAGTAACTGGGACCACAGGCACCCGCCACAGGGCCAGGCTATTTTTTGTTGCAGTTTGGCCAAGGCCGGGTTTGAACCCGCCACCCTCGGTATATGGCCCTGGCGCCCTACCCACTGAGCCACAGGCGCCGCTGCCCAGCTATTTTTTTTGTTATTGCAGTTTGGCCCAGGCCAGGTTCAAACGGGCCACCCTCAGTATGTGGGGCCGGCGCCCTACTCACTGAGCCACAAGAGCCACCCTGGAAGGACATTTTAAACTGTGACATCTCAGTCATTCCCCAGCTTAGAACACCAATGGCTTCTCTACCATTCAGAGTCAAACCCCAAGTTCCTGCCCCTACAGACACTCCTCACACATGCTTACTCTCAGCATGGCCTTCCAGCCAAATGTTAATTTTCCAGACAATGCCAGCAGGTCCCTGGTTTGCATATCCCTGTCGTCCACCTGAGCCTCCAGGAAGCACCCCCATCCTCCGGTGGCACACTCCACCTCAGCCCTCTCTCCATATGCACACATTTCTCAGCACCCATCCCACTCTGTACCTCTCTCACAGATCCACAGAGCTGCTTCCCTGACATGTCCAAGGTCTAAGGAAACCTCAGAGCCTTCAGAAGCTCCTTCCCCCCTCCATGGCTGTGGGGTTCTCACACTGCAGCTGTATCTTCCACATCCTGCCCATCTCAAGGGCTCTTAGAACCTCACTGGCAACCTCTCTACCAGCTTTGCACCCCCTAGGCTAACTAACCCTTCCCTTCATGCCAGCCCATAACAGACTGCTGGCATCCAGAGAGATGCAGGACGCTGTCCAGAACACAGTTCTCCAACCTGACCAGGGCACCCCTGCCAAGTCTCCACTGAAAGCTTTGCAAAGGCCTGAGGGCAGGATCCCTGCTCCACCTCTGGGAAGCTTCCCCATCCCCACAGGTCTTTACTTGGGTTGCAGGCTCAAATTCTAGGCCCCATGGAGTTACCAAAAAAACAATTCCCTGCGCCCTATGCCCAATTCCCCCTTGGGTTTGAATCTTGAAAGAGGGGTTGATGCCTCCCACCCTGGCTCACCCGAGTGGATGAACATGTGCTTGGTGTAGTTTTTCCGTGAGCTGAACGTCTTGTGGCAGTGGCTGCACTCATAGGCCGGCGGCTCTACACCTGGGGCACGCGCTGGGGTGCTTGAGGGGTTCGTCACAGGAGCAACAGAGGGGGCCGGGGCTTCACCAAGCTGAGAGGTGGGGGCTGCGTCCGGCTGGAGCGCAGGGTAAAAGGCAGGTGGAGGTGCAGGGGCTGGTCCAGATGGCGCAGGAGGGGGTGGGGCGGGAGCTCCCAAGTGAAAAGGAAAAAGCGAAACAGGTGGCCCAGGGGTCTTCACTCCGGGAGGGCGGGGTCCAGCTAGGACGCAGTCGGGCGGGACAGGGGTCTCAGAAGCACAACCTTCAGCGCCAGCACCGTCCTCATCGTGCCAAGCAGATACATAGCTGTCGGGGAACACATCTTCAGCTGCTGTAGCTCCCCGAAGGAAGTCCCTGCTAGCACCGCCATAGTCAGTGAGGCCGGTGGGCGCAGGGGGATCCTCGCACGCGCTGTCAGCGGCAGCAGTAAGGAAGCTGGCCGCACAGTCTGGGAAGGAAGGGGGAGCCTGGCCCTCGCCCGGGCCACTGCCTTCGCCGTCCTCACCGTCAGTGTCATCATCAGTCTCCTCGTCCTCATCATCACCTCGGTCGTCAGAAGCCGACGGCAGTGCAGGATCGGGGTCAGGCCCTTCGGCCTTGGCTGGCGCCAGAGATGTAGGTAGCTGCAGACGTGCGGGCTGGCGCTGCTTGCGGCTATGCGCCGCACTGGAATGCCCTGGGGGGCGTGCAGCTAGCAAGTGGCGCAAGCGGTGCCGCAGTTGGGCTGGTGCAAGCGGCGGAGGCACCGGCGCCGGCAGAGGCGCGGGTGCTGAGGTGCTCGGGGCGCGAGCACGCGCAATAATCTGCGTGCACTCGTCAATAACGGTTTGGATGCGAAGCACCGAGGCAGCTGTTAGCACCTGCAGCGCTTCGCCTTGCGCCACTACCAGTGAGCCGCTGTAGAGGAACTCAACCAGCTGGCGCACAGTCTGCGCGGGTACCACCGGCGGCACGCGGATCTCAGAGTGACCCAGCAGCAGCTTGTCCTGGAAGAAGGGCGAGCCAGCGGCTAGCACGCAGCGGTGTGCGCGCAGCGAAGCCTCACGGATGCGCACAGTCACGTCGCAGAAGTGCCCCCCTAGCCTCTGCCCGTTAAGGGTCTCGAGCAGCGAACGAGAGAAGTTCTGCAGGTGTATGTGGTGCACTGCCTCTGCAGCCGCCATCTGCATGGAATGAGAGGAGGGCGGGAGAGGTCAGCTGAGGACCTTCCTCTGCCCTAGTGTCCCTGTCCCTTCATCCCTTATCACAGGGCAGGGCCCAATAGCGCATCATACCCTCAGACCTCACCGACCCCATTCCTTCCCAGCAGTTTTTTACAGTCATTACCAACACAGGACACGCCAACGCTTCCTCCCTCCATACTGTCCCCAGGATTTCTTCAGGGTCCTCCACCTCTACAGACCCCTCCACACTCCTAGGAAAGGGCTGGAGATACAGGTCTGCCCTCTCTCTCAGGGAAGGTTCAGGGCTTGGCCTCCCCTATCTTGGCTCGCCCACACCTCCCCCACCTCTACTAACCTTAAGCCTCCCTATGTCCCCCTTCAAGGGGGCAGCCCTGTGTAGAAGAGGCCATAGACACTCCTCCCCAATCCAAACTGGCTAACATGCCTCACCCAGAGCAGACTGTGCTCTCCACCCAGCTAGCTTTGACTCCTCCACCCTATCTCAAGGCTCATTTTTGGTTACCCTTAGCCAATCTAAGGTGCCCGCCTACATATCCAGGATTGCTGCCTCAGAACTGGGTTACATTAACTACTGTATATGGAGGCCTTCCTAGGGAGTGGGGTGGTACCACGTGCCTCCTGGGCAGAGAATTCAGGATATGCTTGGGCACAGAAGGCTGAAGGTTGGAATTACCCTGGCAGATGCTCCAGCCCAGCCAGCAAGAAGATCCTCCTGCAGCCCCAGCTTTTTTTTTTTTTCAGCCCCAGCTTCTTAAAATCTTAATGGGACCTGTGGAGCCCAGAGTGTGCATGTGGCACAGAAAGGTAGATTATGTGATATAAGCAGGGGAGTGGTATAAGCACAGGTGGAAAGCAGCAACCACAAAAGAAAACAGGACCCTTCTTAAGAACCTGTGGCTGCCTAATCAGAGCACTGCCCATACTTAGGCACCAGAAAGAGAGGGTTAGTCCCAGTGGACTCACAACATCTGAGACGCTCTGCTACTACACCCATCAAGTCAGGTGAACCCATGGTCATTCAGCCAGTTTCCCCTTCTACCAAACAAGGGATGGGATACTTGCTCCTAGGTTCCAGCACCACACCTCCAGTCTAAGGAGGCATAGAGGCATAGGATGCACCCTGATATCCATATACTCTCCATCAGCCTGCCTCTCCCTTAGGGTCACACAACCTCCAAAGTAGGGCTCCATTTAGTCCTGCCCCTACACCCTCTGGCTCTACTGGGGTCTCAGATTCAACCCCTCTGGCCTCTTATGTTTAAACTGCCTTCCTTTGCTGTAGCCAGACCCGTTCCTTTCTTGGATCCCCCACAGATGACCTCTTAGACCACTTTGCACACTTCCCCTGTGCTGGTTACTGCTCTTGGGCTGATGAGGTAACTCCTTGCTGGTCCCCTCCGCGTCCCCCTCTTCCTGTTATATTCCCCACGTGGCAGCCAGAGGGAGCCTGTCAGACCTAACAAATCCAGACACACACCACTCTGCCCCCGCCCAGAGCCCTCTACGGCGATGAATTAATTGAAATTCCTAAAATGAGCCAAGCCTTTGCGGCTTGCCTCTGCCAGCAGCACTATCCCCATCTTAATTCATGTAGCATCTGAAGGACTTCAAATCTGTGTCTGGGCAATGGAGACAGAGACCTGTGCATCAACCGTAGGGCTTGAACCCTTCCTTTTTCTGACCCGCCCCCACCTTGCTCCCTGGCGGGCTTCTATTCCTCAGTCCAAAAATCCGATTAAGGGCCTTCTAAGCTACCACAGGACAAAGGACCTCCTTCAAGACCTGACACTCAGGCCCACCCTACATGATCTGGAGCCGGATATTCGCCGCCACGCCTTCTCCCAAGCCATAGATTTTGCTCTGAGTCCCGTCTCCGGTACTCTGCGCCACTGTTCGCTCCCTGCCCTGAGCCTAGAGCTCCCTATATGTTCTGTTACAGCTGCACCCGCTCCACTCCCGCCAATTTAGCTTTCCCGGCTCCCACCCTTGCCTGCAATTGTGCCCCGATCCCGCAGCGCCCTCTCGCGTTCCCAACGTGCGCCCAGAGCCTAGCGCGAGTGCACCTCCCCTGGCACGCCTCAGCTTCCCCGCCGGCCCTCCGGCCGGGGGATGCCCGTCCGACCCCACCTCCGGGTCCTCCTTAGGCACCAGGCCGCGCCGCGGCTGCCTCTGGCTCGCCAACACAAGGCCGCACTTCCGGGCCGCGATGCCAGCGGAACTGAAGTGGTGCGCCGCTGATGCCCAGGGGGAAACCCTAGACTGGAGCACGTTTCTCATATTTTTTATGACAACCAGGTGCTGCAGTCTCTGCAGGCCGTACTTCCGGCTCTCCTCAAAGTCGGAACCAAAGTCTCAGTAGCTGCGGCTGCCGCGGCTCGAGGAACTAATGGACCAAAGCATACTTCCGGCGTCGCCCTGGAGACAGAGTAGGGGCGGGGCCTGCTGTCTTTCTTGGGGAGCGTGGTTGGAGGTTGAGTAGGTCCAAGCCTCTTGATCTGTCTTGGCCGGTTCATTTTGTATTTATTTATAGTTATAGTAAAGGTGAGGTCTCGCTTTTGCTTAGGCTGGGCTCGAAATCCTGAGCTCAAGCGATCCACCCGCCTTGGCCTCCTAGAGTGCACCCGGCCTTTTTATTTTACTTTTTGAACACGCAGTCTCTCTGTCGCCCAGGCTACAGTGCAGTGGCGCAATGATAGCTCACTGCAGAACTCCTGGGCTCAAGTGATCCTCCGGCCCCAGCCTCCCGAGTAGCTGGGACTACGGGCGCCACCACCATGCCGGATTGGTTTAAACACCACTTCAACCGGGGAAGTGTCCTTCTTCCTCTAACATTCGTTGGAGCATAAGTCTCTCCCCCAGTCTGCAGAACATAGCCCTGCAACCTCTCCCCAAGACTCCTGGCTATGGGTGGGATGTCCCGCTGCAACCCTGGCTCGCACCTTCTGCCCCTCAGCCGGGATCCCACCCACAAGGTGGAGGCAGCCACGCACCACAGACCACAAGCCCCACCTACCCCAGGCAAGGAGTGTACAAGTAAATTAGTGGATATTGAACCGAATGCCTCCTCTGCACCACAGCCTGGGTCAGAGGTCAGAAAAGAAAAGGAGTGTAGGCATGTGATGAGGTCATAATCAGCCAGAAACGAAGACCAGAAGATCTTAGGGGGTTGAAATCTGTGAGAACTGTCCATGAAGGGGCGGTGCCTGTGGCTCAAAGGGGTAAGGCGCCAGCCCCATATGCCAGAGGTGGTGGGTTCAAACCCAGCCCTGGCCAAAAACTGAAAAAGAAAAAGAAAAAGAACTGTCCATGAAGAGGGAACAGCCTTGATCTGCAAAAGCCCTGAAGTAGGGCTGGCTGTACAAGGTACCCATGAACCTGGCCCACTAGATGGTGTGCTGTCAGGGCTTTCTGTTATACTCTTGCAGGTACCCCTTTGGCCACTTTGCTGGGGCAAGTACCACTGCGACTGTGTCTGGAGGGTGGTAGAAGGGCCTGGACCTCAAGGCCAGATCACAGGGCCTCAGTGGACCCTATGCTTTATGTAGCAAGTTTGAGGTCCAGCATGGGGCTCTCAGCCTCCAAGAGAGAGATAAGGTCAGGATGCCTGTCTGTCACTCGGGCAACTGCTGAATGGCTGTATTGTAGATAAGTGTTTTGGAGATCAAGAAGCAGTATATGCCAGGTTGTCATTCTTCCAAATCTGAGTCCCACACTATGATCAGCTGAGCAAATTGGATCTGTTTCCACTGACCTTGACAGTCTCCTCTCCTCTGTGGATGCTTATTCCTGTCCAGCCTCACAGGCCCCTTGCTATACCCAATATGAGGCTGACTTGTGCAGTTCTGTCTGGCTGTAGCACCCTCTCACACAGATGCCATCAGCCTCCCCTGCACCCTTCTTGACCCCAAAGGCTCCCCAACTTCTGTCACAGGGTTGTGAGGGTTGGTGTTCATCTGTGTCCTTTATCTTGGCACCTGCTGCTACAATACACATAGGAACAGACAGCCACTTCACCCTACCCTGAATCTCCACTGTGCTTAACCCTGTGGAATTGCAGGATTCTGGAACATTGCAGGTCAATCTGGTATGAGGGAGGCGGAATTCTGAAAATGCTCCCCCCCACCAATTCTGTGCCCAAATCCACAGAACTTGTAAATATGATATCTATCATCTGTGCATAGTTAACACTACACTATATGGTGAAAGGGTCTTTGCAGATGTAATTAAGGTTGCCAGTTAGCCTGGATTATTTGGGTAGTTCCAAGGTAATCACAAGAGTCCTTAAAGGCGGAAGAGGAATCAGCAGGCGCCTGTAGCTCAGCGGCTAGGGTGCCAGCCACATACACTAGAGCTGGCCAGTTCAAATCCACCCTTGAGCCTGCCAAACAACAATGACAACTCCAACCCACAATAACCAGGAGTTGCAGTGGGCACCTGTAGTCCCAACTACTTGGAAGGCTGAGGCAATAGAATCACTAAAGCCCAAGAGCTTGAGGTTGCTGTGAGCTGTGATGCCAGGGCACTCTACCCAGGGCAACATAATGAGACTCTGTCTCTAAAAATAAAAAGAGGAAGGTAGAGAAACTTGAAGGAGGAGAAGGGTTCCTCTAGAGCAGCGGTTCTCAACCTGTGGGTCATGACTCCTTTGGGGGGGTAAAACAACCCTTTCACAGGAATCGACTAAGACCGTTCTGCATGTCAAATATTTACATTATGATTGATAACAGTAGCAAAATTACAGTTATGAAGCATCAATGAAAATAATTTTATGGTTGGGGGTCACCACAACATGAGGAACTGTATTAAAGGGTTGCAGCATTAGGAAGGTTGAGAACCACTGCTCTACAGGCTTTAAAGGTGGATAGGACCACATGAAGGAATGCAGAGCAGACAGGGGGTAAGAACCTGAAAAGAAACCCAACAACAGCCAGCAAGAAAACAGAGGGCAGCGCCTGTGGCTCAAGGAGTAGGGCACTGGCCCCATATGCTGAGGGTGGTGGGTTCAAATCCAGCCCCAGCCAAAAAAAAAAAAAAAAGAAAAGAAAACAGAGACCTTTCCTATTTGTCAAAAAAAAATTAAAAAAGAAAAGAAAAGAAAGGAAAACAGGGACCT